AACCTGAGTTCAAATCCAGACTCTACCTCTTATAACCAGTGTGATCTTGGACAACTGACTTACCTCTTTAAGTTTCATGTCTTTGTCTGTACAGTGGTGTTATATACCTAGTTCCTAGGGTTTGTGTGTGTATATATATATACACACACACACACACACACTTATATTTATATATACATCATATATATGTTTTGTGTATTATTTGTATATTACCTTATCTCTCACAATAAGTAACTATTAATGGTACCATTACTTCTCATAATGGAAGTTATAAAAAATAATACAAATATCATTACTTGTATATTATTTTATTGCTCCTATTAATCTTTTTATTTGTTACTATGGTTATTGACAGTAATGCTGGAGTGATTTACTGATAGCCAATACAGAATGACCCATTTGGACTATGTGACAAGTACCACTGAGACCTAAGAACCTCACAGATGTGCATTCTTGCTTTGCCTGAACTGGGATAGGAGAGGTTAACAGCATTGCCTTTAGTTCTGCAGCCTTAAAGAAACAAAGCCCTGCTTCCACCAAAGAAATCTTTAAAATACTTCCCAGCACATCCAGAGCCTCTCAGAGCATCACTTATTGAGCCCAAGGATTCAAAGAGATGAACCGTAGTTTCAGTTAAGCAGTGGTTCTCAGATTTTAGCATCCATCAGAATAATTTGGAGGACTGTTTACACAGGTTTCTGGGCTTTATCCCCAGAGTTTTGGATTCAGTAGGCCTGGAATAGACCCCCACTTTTTATTTATAATGAGTTCCCACATGGTATTGATGATGGTATTTCAGGGCCCACACTTCGAGAACCAATGAGATCATAGATGTAGTTGAGGTATGAGTAACCTGACCCCAGAGGGAAACACACACAGAAATCTTTTCACGAAAGTGAATTGCCTGATAACCCCTGTAAAAATGAGGGCTTCCTATTTTCAGACCCCATGTTTTCAACCCTGCACTGCCCTTTCCTTACTTTTTAAATTTATTGGTTGGGGAAATGGTTTCATGAAGTTGTTTTTAAATTTTATGAGCCTGATAAAATCTATAGACACTCTCTCCAGAAAAGCCCATATACACATTGCCTCTGATTTCAGGAGGTTCTTGGACACCTCCTCCACCAGCCCACCCACTGACCCTTAGAATTATCAGTGGAAAAACTATGCCCTAAGGCAAGGTATTGAGTTTACTCAAATGTAACAGAAATTCCCTTCTTATACTTACTTAACCTTTTGGTTAAGTATACTCATCTGTAAAATAAAAATCATAATAATAGTTCTTACCTCAAAGATTATGAAAATTAACTGATGTAATACATGGAAGAGCCTAATTTGAAAACCAGAAACACTAACTATTACCTTTTTTTCTTCTCTTTGTAGTCCTGCTACCACAATCCTCATTCTTGAGGCAAGTGGGTACCTTTCCCTACTATGGGAAAAATCAGGAAGAGTAAGAAGAGCACAAAGAGTAATATTTCAACTCTGTGCCTATTGTATTGTTTTCTAAAATCTGGTCAGTCTCTGTGAGTCACTGAGCAATGGAGTCTAGCAAGCCCCAGGCCTGGCTCTGTGACCCAAGAGTCTCAAATCATTTGTCCTGAAATACTCCACTTAGCAAATGTCCGGTGCCTTCTCATGTCCACAGGTTAATGCCTCCTGACAGAAAGACAGAAATGTAAAATTCTAATAGGGGTTCATTTCCAGGTTAGAAGACACTGAGTCTTGGGAAATAGTGATTAAAGGTTAAGCTCAATTCTCATTGTTTCTACAAAAATAAATAAGTACATTGATAGGCCAATCAGCAGACATTTATTTAGCCCCTGCTGTATACACTGTGCAATCGATGACACAAAGAAGAATAACACATGCTTCTATGCCGGGCCAACTCACAGTCCAACAGCAAAAGTAAACCAAACACAAAGTGAGCCATAGCAAGGACAAGAATTGGTCAGTGTTTCAGGAGTGGAAGGAATCAATTTTGATGGGGATCCATAAAAGTCTCTTGGGCAACATGAGATTTAAGCTGGATCCTACTGTAGGTGAATATGATGGAGAAGGGCATTCTAGGCTGTGGGAATAGTTTGAAGAGAAGCATGGAGTTAGAAAAAAGCTTGGAATCAATTTGTGATATTATGGTTTAGCCAATGTGACCATAGTATGGGTTTGGGGTGCAGGGGTGTCAAGGTGCAGAACTTGAGGCTAGAAAAGTAAGTTGGAAGCATGTTGTAGGTAGGAAACCCAAGGCCAAATGAGGAGTGTTGCTTTCCTCTCCATGCAGTGAGGGAGGATCGAGGGTCTCTGAGTAGAGAGATACCCAAAGCAGATCTGTTTTTATAATGAGAGAATCCTGGTGCCATTGTGAAGAGTCAACAACAGAGGGCAAGAAGGAAGCAAGACCTGGGGATCTGAACCAAAGCCAGAGAAATGGAAGTAGCATGGAGGGGTCGAGGAGGAGAGGCATTTGAGAGGCTGCCTTTATTCCAGGATGGTTGACAGCATGTAGCAAAGACAGCCAAGGAGAGCTGGAGGCTCCCCCAGGCCAAGCTGCTACATAAAGTAGACCATGGTCTCAGAGGAAGAGACTGGCTAGAGGCCCCAAGGCCCGGGGATACCTCTTGGCCATCCCAAGAAGGTGTTTCTCCTTCCTAGAGTGCCCACAGGGGGAGCAGCTGACCATGTGTTTTGCCTGCACGAAATAGCAAAATCACTAATTCTGGACATGGGTCCACAGCCTACTAGCTTCAGAAGTCCTGAAAGTTTTTTTTTAAAACAACTTTTAGGCACTTTTCCAGGTGAATCTGATCTGGGAACCAAGGTGGGTCTGAGGTGGGGCCCAAGCATCCACATTTTGTAAAGCTCACAGGTGATTTTGACACCTGGATTCAGGAACCAAGGTGGGCCCTTACTGTTACACTGAGGAATGCGCAGGAAACACAGGGTCACCACACAGAGCCCATGAACATCCTGTTGGCTTGAAGAACTTGAGTTTTGGTCTCCAACACTGTCTCAAGCACCACGACCTTCACTGAGTGTCTTAGCTGACCCTCCATCTTCAATCGATATCCTCAGCAAACACGGGAGATAGGAGAGGCTACATGCCTGACAAGTTCCCCTGAACTTCCCAGAAGGACATTGTACATACAAACCATCCTTTTCACGCTTGTCCTCATCTAAAATAGAAAGAGAGCTTGGCCGCGTCAGACACACCATGAGAGAGTACAGGGCACTTTTAGTCTTTAGAAAACAGCTTCATAATAATAAAAAGTCCCATAGGACTTTTATGGCTATTATTGTTTTTATTTCTCAGAAACATCACACCGTTCCAAGGTAAGGCAGGTGTTAGAAACATCCCTTCTGCACACCGGGCATGTGTGACTGGGGCAAGGTCAGACAACTCGAGCTGATCCCGAATCCGTCCTCCGGAGCTCCAGTTAGTTCTGCTTCTGTGCCGTAATGGAGAAGGGCAACATAAAGGCATTTTTCTCTCCTTGTAAAAGAGAAAAAGTGGGGGGAGGGGGGATTATTTAAACACACCTCACTCACACTGCAGTCACTGCATTGTTTTTCCTGTTGAAACACCCTGTTGGTTTTTAAATCCCTTTAAACCTACCCGGCACCTGTATGGCCTGGATCCAAGAATTATGGCCGAACCGCTCGCTTTTTATATCTAGCCGCATAGGAGTTTCTGCGATGGTATCTGGCTCGTGGTTCAGTTGCAAATTTCAAAGCTTCCAGAAGTTTTCTTCTTCTATAGAACTAGAAATTTGCAGTGCTCAGATTTGATTTTTTAAAAAATTATGCAGAGATGTGTCCCCCTTTTAGTTCTCCTGCTAGATAAAATAGTATCGTGGCATAACCTGAATTGTTCCTCTGTAAAGATACTTCTGACATATTGACCAATAGAGAGGGCAGGGGACAGACGCGGGGCTGGGGGGGGTCTCCGCCAGCAGCTTATGGTATGTGAGGTGACCTCTCTTCAGGGCAAGAACAGAGGCTGAAAACATAATGAGGACTTCCCAGTAAATTCATTATAACAAAGCATAATGTGAGCTCACTGGGCACAAAAATAGGCTGAAGGAAAGTGACTCCCACATAAGTCCTAATTAAATACTTTGATGTCAGAAAGCAGAGCAGAGAGGGGTGGAAAATCAAATCAGAGCAAAGTAAAGACTTAAATTTAAATGGAAAGAAGAAATCTCTCTCTCTCTCTCTCCTCTCTCTCTCTCTCTCCTTTCTTCTCCTCTTCCTCTTTCTCTCCCTCTCCTTTGGCCTCTCTCTGTGTGTCTCTCTGTCACTCTCCTTTTTTTCCTTTGCCATGAAGGAAGAATAAGATTCAGGAACAATGGGTTGTAAATTCTTCAGCCAATTAGTCCGGTGACTTACTACTGTTTATAATGCACAGAATATCACAGGCTGTTTGCGGCCTCCCCAACTTGGTTTGTTAATAACAGGAAGCTAGCACTTCTCAGTACAGTGGATCAGCTACACGTGAAAATAAATGCAAAAAACCTGGAGGGGAATAGAAGCAGACCGAGAGTAGCCTTGATTTAATTTAACGTTTGGGGGTCCACACACAAATGAGCATTTTAGTAGGCTTCATGGTGGAAGTTGCTGTCATTTGTAAAATATTCTGGCCAATTAGCTAATAGTGTGCTTGGATTTCTCCTGTTTTGATACAGTAATACTAAGTACATTGTGAAGCCCAATTATACAAATCATCCCCATATGCCATACCAGTCTTTCTTTATGAACTGTGTTTATAAATCCTGTGTGAGGAAATGTGTACTTCAGCAATTTAGACCATGTGTAAAAACATAGCCAATGGGATTGTCAAGAAAACAAGTTCCAGCCTAGGAAGTCCTAATGTGTTCCGCTGGAATAACAGGAGGGTGGCGGGGAGCGCAATGCTCTGCTTAAATACATATTGCTTTATAGCGTTTAACCGATTTAGGGGCTTCCGCTTCCCTTTCTGTTATTTTCTTCTTCTTTTCTTTTAGGATCCAACCTTGGAGTTTTTGAGAAAATTTGGGATCGGTCTTCTCTCTGGCACAATAGCCTCAGTCATTAACATCCCTTTTGATGTTGCCAAAAGTAGGATTCAAGGGCCTCAGCCAGTTCCTGGAGAGATCAAGTATAGAACCTGTTTTAAAACAATGGCAACCATCTATCAGGAAGAAGGGTAATGCAGTCTTATTTTAATAAATGAGCAGAACTCAAGGATTGTTCGAACCATATTGTACTTCCATTCTGGTGAGAGCCTTAAGCCCTCCTGAATTGGGTGTGTGTGAGAAATTCTCAGGAATAGATGACTAACTCTGCAAGATAACACAACAACGAGATGTTGGTAAAACATGCTTACCCTGTCAAGAACCATGAGCCACCAGCGTTCATATGCAGCGTGTTTGTCTTAGCATGCCAAGATGAACTATTTGCTGGCCAGTTTGCATAACACGCTGTTGCGCATCGTATGCCCTGTGAACACACGGGCAGGAGAGTCGTTGTCTTCTGACTGTAAATCTAAACAAACCATCACCTAATTGTATTCTCCTGGGAGAAGTGAAAGTAGTTTTCTTTGAAAAAGGTAGAGTTTGTGCCTTTTTCTGCTGGTCTTTTTTTTTTTTTTTTTAAGACTTACTTTTGTCCTTTCATCCCTCCTTACCCGTCTTATTCTCAAGTAAACAAGTCATTTTTTTAAAATTAGTTTGATCTAAACTGCATCATATTTCCTTATGTGAAGACTGAGTTTGCGGTCTTTTAAATCCAATTACAAAAGTCACTCGGTCCATGTACAGAGCTGTCTTGAAAGTAAGACCTGTCTTGAAAGCAAAAACCATCATGCTGATGAAAAACGTATTTCTGATTGGATAAGACCAGTATAGCTTGGGTAATAAAGAATGGATGAACTCTTTCTCCCTGTCCAATTTGTTGCAGAGACTGTTTAGCCTGATACGGTCTGGTTTGGGATGTGTACAATTTCAAATAAATTTTTTTATAAATGCGGGGTCAGCATCTCAGTAAAGCTGAGGCACAACCCCACTTTGTTTTCAGAATAAGGATGTTCCTCTTTTCTTTTCACTTATAGGATTTTAGCTTTATACAAAGGCCTGCTTCCTAAGATCATGAGGCTTGGACCAGGTAATGGTGTTTTTATTACTTATATCCTTCCTTCTTTATTAAGATCTAGCATCTCTTTCCTTATTTGTGTCTATCAGCAGCATAATAAAAGTTTATCCCACTGTGAAAGACAGAAACCTTGAGGATATAGAGTTGCCTATGAGTATTCAAGATACTGAAAGCATCCATTAGAAATGTTCTACCTTTGTTTATAAGGTACTATTTATGGCCCTACTGGAGGCTGACAGAAGCCAAAGCCCAGCTTAAGTCAATAGGAAAGGACCCACAGTGAGTGGGAGTCTGAGTGAGCACCCAGGTATGTACACGGTGGCTTCTGGCAAAAGGAGGATTTTCAGTGTGTAAGGAACTAGCCCCATAAAATTGTCCTGGTGCTCCTTGTTCATTCTGGCTCCTGCCTCAGCTTCATTCCAAAAGGAGAAAAGGAGGCTTCCCTGCCTCCTCGAACAGCCACTTGTCTCTGCAGTCACCTCTGGGGCGTGGGGAGGCCGCAGCCTGGTGCTGTCACCTCCCTGGCCTCTGTCAGCACAGTGTGGAGGCTCCTGGCTCAGGGCCTCACCTCAGGACGCCAGCCCAAAACACCCGCTGCCATTCCCTCAGGGAGAGTCAGCTGCCTCTGTGTAAATAGATAAGAAAATAATTGCTACAGACTCAACTGCCTGGGCAAATAGTCTTGGATTATAAGCAGCCCCGTGAATAAGTACGGAAGTATATGCTAGACCACACATATTTTTTCACCAGGCCACACTCACCTACTTAGGCATCCTGGTAATGTTCCCTAGAACCTTCCCCTACGCCACCCCTCTCTCCCTTTCCCATCCTCCCATTAACACCGATGTCCTCTTCCTCACCACACATACACAGGTACATTTACCCTGAAACCTCAGCCCAGTGAACCAGCATTTCTACGGACCTGAGATATAGAACAAAGTCTGTACATTGAAGCTGGTAAACAGTTCGCACTTTCTTGTATTTAGAAAACACTCCCTCGATTCCCAGTCCATCTAGCCCAACTTTTCTAGCCTTTTAAGCACAATTTTGCTTCACATTTGAGATTCAGTCTTTGGCCCATGCATAAAAAACAACCCAATAATAGGAATATTGGTGATTTCGTGCAACTCGCTCTGTATGTGGTGTTTTTCCTTCACCACATAGTAAAAACCTGCTAGTAGACCTAGCATTAGAGAGAATCAGACGACTGGCCCTAACCCAGCTCTCTTGGGAGGGGTGGGCCCGAAAAGGGTGATGACCCTGGAGAGTTTAACTAAAACGGTAATTGACTGGAAACTTAACCCAAAACTCTTTAAATAATCTGACCCCAAGTTTTGTTAGAGGCTTGCAAATGTTTGGTTGGCTTTTTAAAATGTTTTTGCATGAGGTGTCCTGAGTTGCTGTGGTGTTAAACCCAATAAAAAGGGTTGTTGTGAGTGTACTGTCCAAGCTAAACAACACTGAGTAACTGGAAATCTCATTCCAAGACCTGGCCTCCACTCTCATTCCAAACAGGCAAGTCCTACCAACTTCAAAGGAGAGAAAGGTACGAATTTGAGTTAAAGATAAGATTGAGAGAGAGAGAGAAAAGAAAGGTGAACCTGGAATTTTCATCCTTCATTCTGGAGAAGCATCTCATGTTTTTGTAACAGCCATAGCAACTAGCTCAATGTGACTACCGATAGGTACCTCCCATGAAGGGAGAATCTTGAAGTTTGTGGTTTAAACTCCAAATATCACTAGGCTGTAAACTAGCCCAATTGTGTGTGTTCTTGTATTACATTGTGAATAGTTAATCAGAGTAAACACAACAGTTACAGACATATTAACGACCCTCTGCGGTTCGTCCCTCCTCATTTGCCAGAGCACCAAGAGAGCTACAGCAGTGAGCCGGGTCTAATAGAGTATCTTCATGGGTTAAAAATGAAAATTACAGGCAGATAATTATCTTTGGTATAAGGTTACACAAACATGTGCAGCCTGTAGATTTTTTTTTAAAGCATATGGCAGTGTGTACAAAAGAGCTAAAATCAAAATCAAGTTCTATTTCTTTCCGTCACAAGTCAGTCTTCTGTTCATGCAGCCAAGTCTTCTCTAAGCGGTGCTGAGGATACTTGTCCACATTTTGATTTTGCAGTATTTTTCACACAGACATGAAAGGATAAGTAGAGATTGTCTTAAAAGACACAGAACATATGCAATTTACTGCATCAGATAGAACACGAAATCGCCCACATACAAATGCTCTCCTGATGTCTAGGTATGCAAGCAGGGTTGGTGCCTGTTTTCCTGTATCATATTCCTGTTGACATATTACATAGCAAAGCTCTTTGCAGCCAGTTACATAACTCTTCTCTACCAAGACAAATGGTGCTCTTATGACACCCAAACCCTACTACCAAATTTTCAAGTGCAATCCATATATGTCCTAGGCACATAAAAGGAATGAAAACAAAGAAGGTTGAAAGCTAGCTTAGTTTTGCAATACATATATTTTTTAATATGCAGAAGCTATTTTTCACATTGCAATCCAAATTGAAAGCTGCAAGAGAAAAGCAGACTCGTTCGTCAAGCACCGGTCTTAGAGATTTTCTTCTTGACTGCAACTACAACAATGCTCATTATGGACTGAAAAAGATAAATCCTTTGCCTACGTAAGAAGAACCTGAAGGCTTCTGTTCGCAGGAAAGCCGCATGCCCTTACATGACTAAAAGTCTATATTTATTTACTTTTAAGAATGAAAAGTGCCTGAAAAAGAATCTGATGAGAAATGATGAAAGTTACAGAAAGTCATGGGGAAAAAATGCATTTGGAGACTCAAGATGGTCTTGATTTTGCTCTGCGAATTTTCCACAGTAGTTTTTTGTGTATTGGAGCTCAGGAACTGGTGGCTCTGAACCGCCCCTGCCTGATGGGCTGCATGGGGCTTCATGGATTCAGAAACTCGGTGGGAAAGACAACACTATGTGATAGGATTTGTGATAAAAGGCAGCTCTTTTCTCTTCTAGGCGGTGCGGTGATGCTGCTGGTTTATGAATATACCTACTCGTGGCTTCAAGAGAACTGGTGACAGCCTGAGAAGTGTTTTCACCCCTGGAGATAACGCATATTCCCTCCACAGCACCTTGGGGTTAAGCTGATAGTTACACATTATAATTATACAATTATTAAGGGGGAAACAATTTAAGAACAAAATCTATTTTGAGACTTCAAAAACTATCTCTAAATAATTTGAGATGGTAGTTATGGCTATATTCATAAAATTGTAAGAAGAAGAATATGAAGCAATGAGGTATGTAAACTGAATATAGAATAGCAATCAGAACTATTTCATAAAAGCAATATATATTTTATGACCTATGTTTTATTTACATTGCTTCACAATGAAAATTTATTGTGTTGATAATTATTTTTTCCTGAGGCCAAGAAATGCTTAAAGTAAAAAAAAAAAAAAAGGCCAAAATTAAAAGTTTTTTAAGAATAAAATTCTTCCATAAATATTTAAAAGTCACAAAATATTTATAAGTGCACTAAAATGCCTTTTTAAAATGTTGACTTTTATATTAAAATGCAAATCTGTTTGGTTTTCTAGCAATAACATGCATCTCAGCTATATTTTCCTAAATCTACTTTATATCTTGCACTGTTGTTTAGATCAGGTCATACTTTAAAACTGTCATATTTAAAGTCTTTTATGACAAATAGAAAACATGAAGTTATATTAAACTACTTTCCTTCCCATGGTTCCCTGTGAAAACAAGTTTTGTTGCTGAAATGTGTTCATGTTAAATCACAAACTGGGACCACTCCTTGGGCGCATTTGTGCTGTCTGTTTTGCATCCAAATACCTTTGTTCAGAACTCTTACCTATGCCGCTCTTAAATGTTTAAAGTAAAAGTACATTTCCAGTTTATTACTTATTAAGTGACAACTTCAGGTGCGAAGTCAGCTATTCGCAGTGCTAAAATACGTATTATTCAGGGAAAATAATGTTTCAAAGTAGAAGTACATTCTTAGCATTTCCAAAGATTCCTGTACTAACACGCACTCCAAAAAATAGCTTCTTCGCCTCAATGTAACCGAAGGATTTTACATCTGCATCCTGAAATGATGCTACTTCAGTAGTTAAAAGTCAACAAACAGATTCGCACGTTCTAAGTGACACCTGTTCTTACTACGAGTAATTTCTACCATGAGGCTATGTCACTAAGAGGTTTTGAAAATAAAAAAGTAAAATAAAAGATAACATGGTAATTATTACTTTTTATTAATTTAGAGCATTTGAAGTATAAAAATAAAGGCTTTTTGACATACTGTATATACATACACAGCCTTCGGTTGTACATCCTTTCCAGCATGTTTTTTAATTTATAGTTCAGCTCAATACTCAAAAGAGGGTCATTAAAAGTAGGAAAAACCAAGAGAAATGAGAATGTGTTTGTTGTACAACTGCATTCTGTCCTCGCAGGTAACACTCGTGCACCCTGGGAGGAGAGGCCTGCCTGCCTGCACAGAGGCCGTGAAATCGAACCTTTAACCTCTCCATGTGGATGGGATGGAAAAGGATCTCTGAAGAGTGCATTTGCCAGTTAAAAAACACTTTTACCCCCTAAGAAACAGAGGAAATATGTCAACAGTAACCAATAATGTTAATGTTTAAAAATCAAACAATCCCAACCCCATATCCCATCCCATTTTCCTTCTCTTATTTTTACAAGTAGTTTTCAACCATAATTGCTTTGAACGGCCAATTGTATTTGGGGTTTCTATTATCTTCTTAAATTTATTTCATGTGAATTTACTGTTGCTAAGGAAAGATCTCAAGGGGAAAAAAAGAAGAAAACTTTGATAGTATTAATATTAGATTTTTAAAAGTACAAGAACCAGAAAAAATTATAAATAGCATAATAACAAGAGATTTCTTAATTTAGATAAAGAAAATAACATTTAGGTATGTTTCCATACAAACAATTGATAGTTTTTTAAAGACTCCTAATAGCCACCTAAAAACATCTGATAAGGAATAATTCTGTACCTATGTCAGTTTTTCTGGACGGCGGGAGAGTCCCTGTGTGGTATGGTTTTAAAGTCTCCACCAAGATACTGGATTGGTATCTTTGTTCCATTTGGTTTATAGTCTATTTTCTCACCAGACTAGGAACTCCAGATGTCAATAGGAGTTTTACAAGATCAAAGGAAGACTATGGCCCTGAGAGTTCATCTGCTCCTTCTGCTTATTCTTCTCCTGAAGTTATAATCCTCTGTTTGTAGTGCTGAACTTTGGTTGCTGTAGAAATAAATGCAGTTCAAAGCTCTCTCTATGATATTTGCTGCGTGGGGAAAGCAGTTCCTTGGACATAACTTGTATGTCAGAAATCTGCTTACTGTTTACATCCTAGTGATTTGAAAACCTAACTAATCTAGCCATCTGAGTTTTAAGTGAAGCCGTGAAACCAACGTGATGGGGCTGGATAGCCATGTAGGCTGTGCACAGCACAGATAGGAAGAAATCAAAATCACCTAACGAATGCATCTTCAACACCCATATCGAGTCATGTGCCCTTGTAGTTATTGCACAGAATTAATACCCAAAACTTGCAATATATTACTTTTCCAGTAGATGAATTGTACCGATGTTTTAAACCTATATTGCCAAAACAGGAAGAACTTCCTAAACACAAGAGATAAGAACGGTAGAGTTTTGCCCAAGAAAATCAGTTGTTTTAAAATACAACACATAATCACACGCTCACACACACATACACCCGACAGCTCTATTATTAACATTAAAATTGGACTACAAAGATTTACCAGTTAAACCGTGTCCTGTAACTCCAGAAATGAAAAAAGGGAAATTTTAAAAATTAAATAGCATTTGTATTTCTACCACCACCACCAGTTTACCTACATGTGAAACATGCTTCTGTACAACAATGTAAACTTCACAGCAAGCTGTTTTTACATTCATTAGAGCAGAATTTTCCATTTTCTTTAAATTACAACATAATTTTGGGCTGAGATTGCTGAACACACAGGTAAGCCAACAATAACAGTACAATTTAGTTTCACAGTGGTTTTCTTAACATAAAGTTCATTTGAAGTGTCTTTGCAAAGCATTTCACATTAAACGTAAGTTTCTAAGTGACTTCCTTTAGAGCCTTCGTATTCAGGTATTCTCCACCTCTGGTCTTTGTATGTTTGGCATGTGTGTTGTCGGATTAGGATACAGAATGGAGACTGGCTTGTTGTATCTGTTGTTTGAATCCTCTGCTGTAGAAAGAAAATGTCCTTCGTGAGATGCTGAAGCCTTCACTGCACACATAGAATTTATGGCAAGTCCAGGTCCAGGAGCCTGAGCAGCCCACCACCAAACAGAGACAAAGACGTTGCCAGAGAGTCACCTTTGCAAAAAAGAATGAAAAAAAAAAAAAAAAGAGAGATGGGCGGGGGAGGGGGATATCCCATGAAATGAAAACACAAATGCACCATCCAGAGTCCATATTTACAAACTAATAGAAACTATAAACATTATTATATTTGGAACCAAGTCAAAACACCAGGAGGAGCTAAATTCAGATATTGCTTGTGATATACATGTGTTCTCCAACACAATAGGTCACCTCTTAAAAATAAACAAAGGATCACTCAAACAAATCAATTATTGATTGGTTTCCTAATGATGAATTAAGGCTTATTTGGTCACCTTATTTGATTAGAGGGCGTAGCATAACTTTTTTCCTATATGTATTTTCTTTTATTGATTTTGCAAAATCTCAACAATTGCACGTTTCAAAAGTTTAGGTTGATTTAGAATAAATATACACATGTGGTTTTACCAAAGACTCGTTTAAAAAGTTCCTTAAGCCCTTTGAGGGGTGCAGGTTTCTTCACTACATTAAAACAGTGTGTGGGCAGCACAATTGTCTCATTCAGTCTTTAATATTGCTTTTGTTTTTGAATCCTAACGTCATGTCAGGTTCTCTGTGAGAGAGAAGTTATGGCAAGAAATATTTACGTGTCACCAGCACAAAGGAGGTGAGTCCCTAAAGCCAGCTCTCCAGGCAAAGGGGTTGGAGGGCAGGAGGGGTGGGGTCCAAGAGCAGGGAGGAGAGGGAGGGTGTGCTGGGGGGGGACCCGGATGAAGCTGTTGCCGGCGGAGTTTCCCATCAGAGTGCCGAAGCTGTGACGGAGTGACTACCTTCTCTGGCTGCCTGCATTCCCTTGAATGCTAACGAAGCAGGAATGTCACAGTTGTGGGGGGAAAGTGGGGTGCCACTGGCATGTTGCCATCCGTGTCCAGCAACATAACCCGAAGGAGAAGCGCTGTAGGTCATGTACGGCGACACCTGGGCCGGGGTGGGATAAGGAGCCATGGTGGATGCTGACACAAAACTGCTCACAGCTGGGAGGCCATTTGGTGCCTGAGAAGAGAAGAGGTGAAGTAACCACGTTACAGTAGTTGACATTTCACAGGTTCGTAGAGAGAGGCAGGCTGTAGGTTCTCGGTAGTGATGGCTAACAATGCTCTGCCTCTACTTTTCTGATTTTTATTTTTAGAGTTGACTTTAAGCATATTCTAAATGCATTCACAGTGTTGCTACTTAAACAAACAAAACGCCAACAGACAAGACATTATTCTTTCCACACAGGTTTTGAGGAGGCTATGAGCAGAAAATTCACAGTATTTGCTTTGTTATTCAGAATTATAGGAAGGCAATCAGGGTGAGGAAAGAATTACTGGTGATTAAATCCTCTTAGAATCTGTTCTGTTATCCATATGCCTTTGTCAGCCTCCCCTGTACTTCAGTTCTGGTTGGCTCTTTTGTTGAGGCATTTGTGAAGGGCCTGGATGGTGTAGCTTTCATTTCCAGTAAAAAAAAAAAAAAAATTTTAAAAAGCACAGAGCATGGGCTATCAGTTTTGAAATTCAAAATGAGCACAACTTCTGTTAAATAAAAACATGGGCAGTATTTGAAACCGTCATGTTGTAAATGTTTGTTGGACAAAGGACATGCAAAATTAGGCAGTTTGTCTTTTAAGGAGTTTTTCAATGAAGATTGGGGGTATTTTTTCCAGAGCTATTTTATCAAAAAAAGAAACCGGCTATTCAACGATAAAAGGACTACATATGTGTGGTTTTGAAGTTGGAAAATTTGCTTGCAAAGTTTTGGGGCCCTGTGATGTGAATTTTGAAAAGCCACACGGATAAATCTCTTGAAATGAATTTACATGTAAAATCTCAGTTTGCAGACAAAATACAGCAGCTCTGGCAGGCACATCTGCCTAGAAACCAGTCCTCTCCTGGCATCCAGCGATTGTTGGTATCGTTACTATTAACAACACTAAAAACACCCCGATTTCTAATTCTATTCTGGCATGAACCCTCAGCATCCTTCTTCAAGTAACTTAATTTTTCCCTCAATTTCTACATTATTTAAAAATAAAGAGTAAATCCTTTTTCCTGGTAGTGAAGTGAATAAATTAACATAGCAACATATTTCCTAGTGAAAGTAAAATGCAAAGAATAGATTTATTATTCGTAAAACTGATTTAATCCTTAGAGGTAAGTAAAACAGACATCTGTGTTAATTAGATGCTCTTTCCAATTCAATTGCAACACAGAAATTGTTTTCTGATTTAATGCATTTAGTTATTATTTTCATTTCCACATCTCTCAGAATGCAACGGTAGGGTCTCAAAAACGATTTGCCCAATTTAGAGTAATACTTGGAGGAGACTGTATACATGGGTGTGATTTAACACTGTTCATAAATTTCTGACCAAATAAGAATAAAAGTAGAGGTGTTAACCTTGTGTCCTTGGTCTGTAAGAGCATATACCTCATGCTCTGTTTGTCAAAGTGCCTGCTCTTTGAAAAATGGGGAAGGAGAAAGGAAACTCAGGTTTCTTGAGTATGTCCTGGCACCAAGAAATAGTCAACATATTTGATCAAATAATGAGGATTGAGTTGTACTAGTGAGCTTATAATAATTATAAGATAGTATATAAGGAGTACAACACAATGTTTAATTAAAATTAAAATGTATTACAAGGGTCCCAGAGGGTGATACTGTATTTTTAAACAAAGAAATCATTGCACATCACTATTTAACATAAATAAAATCTGATTCTCTTTATATACACAATAATATAGATTAAGGAATTTAGCCATTTACCCTAGGGCAACTGGCAAGTCAGTGATCCTGCATTAAAAGAAGTCATCAGCCCTGTCTGATGCAGGATCTTCTACAGCAAATATTTTTCTGCTTTTGCTGGACAAGTAAAAGACAGACACAATTTAATCTCAAACAAGAGTATCTTTTGAAATAACATCTGGTAAAAGATTCTTTCTTCTTTAGATTCTCATTGCTATATCCTCATTCTGTTTCTTAACTTCTAAAAAAAAAAATCTTTTTTCCTTCTTTCTGAGAATAGCTCCAAAGAGGCACTTTAAGGCTCTCGGCAGATGACTATGAAGATAGTGAGCTATCAAATTGCAGAAGAAAACTAGCATTGCATCAAGTGGATAGTTCTGATCATGTTTAGGATTTCCCTAATAAACCATGAGAAATTCATTTGGAAAGGACTCATTCCAGTTCAGCTATGGAAAGGTGTTTGCATCTGCATTTGGCCTCTTCCATCCCAGCATTCATTAATATTTTATATTATTGATGCCCAAGTACACCAAGAATCATAAAATAAGAATGTCAAGATTAAAATGTTAAGGTTAAAATGACTATTTTAAAATAACAAGAACCTTTGCTCAACATTTTACAGGTACATAAGGTTAGACTATTTATTATTCTGCATGACAGAAACAACACTCTTGTTCACAAGAAAAAACCTGTTGGTGAGTTCTCTGTCATCACAGCTAACTTTTTTCTACCTATTCTTTTAATATTTCTATTTTTCCATCATCCAAAATGACAGTTCTCTTTGAAATTCTTGCTTCGTCATATTCATGTTCCTCTCCTTATGCCCTTTCCTTGGAACCACGGCTCCTTGATGTACCCCGTCTTAGGGGTCCCTCAACTCTTCTGTAGCAATGTCTACAAACTGCTCACACATACTACTTCTTTTTGCCTGGAACTGTTCCCCCAGAGAAACCAGGCTGGATTACAGGCTCATCTTAGAGATCCTGGGATTTAGGGGGAGGCAGAACCTTGGATTTAGGCCCATGTTACCCTCAGGCGCCTTACTTATTCTATGACTACATTTGTTTGCCCAGTGTAAAAACACAATTACTTTTTCCTATTTGTCCAATTTCTCACTTGCAAGGCGTCAAACTTGCTTTTATATTTTGATTCCTATTAGCATAAATAGTTCAAAGTCCTCTAAAATCTGCAGTATAGTTAGAGTAATTTTAGTCTCTTCTGTATGGCAGAAAGGAATGGTGGGAAGGGAAACTGAGGAGGACTGATGTCCACAAGGCAAGGGGAGGCAAAAACGTTTGCTTAAAAAAATTTTTTTTTACATTCAAACACTACAAAAATAGCTCTGAAATTCCCCTCAGCTTAAACTATGACCTAGATTTGGAGTGAAAAGTTTTGTCTTAATTTTTCTTTTTAAAGTTCAGATTTAGAAATTCGGGGGTGGGGGGATGGCATAAGGAAGATGAGCGAATAAGCATGCTGTAGCAGGTAGCTGCCACCTTCACTATTCACTAGTGACTCGATACATCAATTTTCTCACTATTAATTTTGAAACATGACATTAGTAAAAGATATAAATCTCTACTGGGTAGAGTAATTGTTATTTATGAAGCAATCACTGAAAGAGTAAAATTTTCCACCACAAAGGAAAACAACTACAGGTAGCACTGATGTTTGTTTATTCTTTCCAGTAAAAGAGTACATGACTTTAACTCCCCAAATCTGTTTAATGTTTTCAGTGAAGGGCATGTAATTAATCTGAAAAGCTAGTTAGGCTGAGTAGAGACTACCAAATGTACACCATAAATATAGTGGGAGCAAACATGCTAAATTACTCTATTTAATTGGATTGTAAATATGATTTATAAATCAACCAACATATGGAATCCCCAGGGAAGAGTAAACAAATTTTCCAAACGAAACCTCAGCAATGGGCATGTAATGGAAATCTCATTTTTGAAAATGACTTTACCTAAAGATTCCATAAATAAGACCTCGATTCATCAGCCCCTTTTTTTATGTGGATCTTCCTTGAAAGCAATGAGAGAAAAAGAATCCTTTCCTCCAAAGAACTGTACAAGAGTCCTCCCTGAAACAAACTCCTCACTATTGAATTTTGAGAATGAGATTTACTAATACAAAGTAAAATAGACAAGGTTGCATAGCCTGGAAAAAAGTAAATCACTTGTTTTGTTGAATATTTTTAGAAAAAGACAGATTTCATCCCACTGACATTAAATTGTTCAGGGGAAAAAAAAGTACGTAAGATGTATTTTAGTTAAGGTTATCACAAGAATGAATGAAAAGTATGTGTTCATTTCACTTGTTCTAAAACGTTAGAAATATAGATTTGCCAGTTCTTAAGAATATCTTTTTAAATGAATATGTTGAGAAGCTGTATTAGCAGAGAGCTAGATTATAAACAATTTAAGAACAGGGACTTGTCTTAATCATCTCTATCCCCACAAAACAGGACACATTATAGAAGTTTAATAATCATTTGTATACATAAGTTACTGCAAACTTTTGAAATCAAAACATGTCATACTCTCGCTTAAAAAAAAAAAGATGTAGGCACCCTTTATCACAGAACGAGTATTACAGTTTAAGAAAAATGAATAAAGGCGTTGAAAAAGTAAATGAAAGTTCTAACCTAGCCATTTCATTATTTAATTGATGGTCGTCCCATTTATTCCCATCCCCCCAAAAATGGAAATGCATTAGTATCCAAACACTAATGACCACCAAAAAAAAAAAGTATGACAACTGTCTGGCAATTAGAGGTTATAGATTACGCTTCAAATTCTGGTAACTGTCTACTCAACGTTTCTCTCTTGAAGAAAACACAAAGAGCAGTGCTAAATCCTCTACCCATCATTTTTC